CTTTTTTTGTTTCTCTTCTCTCTCCTTCTCTTTTTTTTTTTTTTTTTTTTTTTTTTTTTGTTTTTTTTCTCTCTCTCTCTCTCTATATATATATATATCTTTTTTTGTTGTTTTATATTATAAAAAGGCCCCCCCCCCGGAGAACCACCAACAACTCTTTAGAACAAAAAACTACCGAATCACATCCGAGTTGGCGGGTTCCTGGGGATTGGAAGGGGTTTCGCCGATCGTTCCCAGGAGCCCGCCGAAAACCCACAGGAAAACCACTTTTTTTTTGGGTGGGGGTGGGGGTTGGGGGGGTAGAGTTTTTTTGTTTTTGTTTTTCTTTTTCTTTTCTTGCATCAGAAACCCTTCCAAAACGCCCTGATCTTCCCCTCCCCCCCCTGGGATCCGGGGGGGGGGGGAAACCTTTGAACAAGAAAACCATGTTTTCTTATATATAGTTGTTTACAGTTGTATATGTATGTAAGTATATTTACTTATATAAATGAGGTTTCCCAGGGGGGGTCCAGGGAACGAGCTCCCACGCCAATTTCAGTGGGGGGTGTATGCAGTGCACGCAGCAGGCAATCTGGTGTCCCCTCACCGCCCCTGCCAAACAACAGTGCTAAGTGATCGCGGGGCGTCGGCGTATGATTTTGATTTTGGTGCATCGTGTACTTCGTGTTGTTTTTGGCGTACGAAAGTGGGGCTGGGTGATGGCATTGAGTACAGCAGGCAATCTGCTGACATCCCCGCCGTCCCTGTTGAAAACAAGAGTGAAGTGATCGCGGGGCGTCCGCGTCCGTCCGCGCATGATGCAAAGTCTTACTTTGATTTCAGAATAACACGGACGGCTGGGGGGGGCCCGCGTTGTCTCTGGTTTGTCGTCCGTCGTGTGTGGGAGGGGGTGTATGTTGATAAAGAACAGTGACGATTCCCTTTCCCGATCAGGGGAATGAGGGGTTTTAGAAGTGTGAGGGCGACAATTTGTTATACCTCCTTCGCCCAGAAAGTTGGGATCTTGGAAGTCCTGTGGGTTGTGTGAGAGTCGTCTGGGGCCTTTCTCCAGGTCGTTTCGTTTTTTGTTGCTTGTTTGTTTGCGCGGCCATCCTGGGGCCACCTTGTGCTTCAAAAACTGATCAGTGGGCAATCATGGCCGACGACTTTTTGCAGGTGTGGTTTGCTTCCCCCGAGGATGCTACCCCGAGCTGCCCTTGCCCAGGTGTGCTGGCGAACCTCTTGCTTCCCCAGCTGGTAACGCTCCGCCGTGCTCTGCTCTCACATCGAGGCGCTCTGCCGCACCATGCCCTGCGGAACCGCGCCCGCCGTTGCTCACCTCCGCGCAGCCCTGGTCGGCCGCCGTGCCTCGTTCCGTGCTGCCCTGGCTCTGCTCCTCCCCCCATCTCTCCCTCCCCGCTCGCGCGCCCGCCCTCCCTTCCTGGCGGCGCGGCGGTTCCCGACGTCCGACGTGCTGCCTCCTCCTCCTCCTCCTGCTCCTGCTCCTGCTCCTGCTTCTCCTCCCCCTCTTCCTTCTCTTCCTCCTCCTCCTCCTCCTCCTCCTCCTCCACCTCCTCCTCCTCCTCCTCCTCCTCCTCCTCCTCCTTCTCCTCCTCCTCCCTCTCCGCCCTCCTCCTGCTCCTCTTCGTCCTCCTCCTCCTCCTCTTCTCCTCCTCCTCATCCTCCTCCTCGTCCTCCTCTTCCTCCTCGCCCTCCTCCTACTCCTCCTTTTCTCCTGCTCCTCCTGCTCCTCCTGCTCGTCCTGCTCGTCCTGCTCCTCCTGCTCCTCCTGCTCCTCTTGCTTCTCCTGCTCTCCCTGCTCCTCCTGCTCCTCCTTCTCCCCCTCCTCCTCCTCCTCCTCCTCCTCCTCGTCATCCTCCCTCCCCCTCCTCGCCGAGCGGTGCGCCCAGAAGGCGCGCGCCCGCGGGGGCGCGCGCGCCCGCGGGGGCGCGCGGCGATGGACGCCGTCGAATCGCTGCCCCGTGGCGTCCTGGCCGGCCTGGCGGCGCCGCCCGGGCCAGAGGCCGCGGCCCTCTTCGTCTCGGGGTGCAGTGCTGACGTCTGAGCGAAACGGGGGGGTGAGGGTGCAAGTTCTCGAGGAGTTTACACTGGTACCCGTCAGTCGTTGAAAGGAGGTGTTTGGAGTCCCATATTCCAATCTACTTCGAAGTCGCCTTCCGACTCCAGTGCTCGAGTGGCTGCAACTTTTCCGTCCTCTCCAGGGGGCGGACTGACACCCAATCTAGTTTCAACGCCCTCCTACTTCATGCTTCTGCCTACTTGTTCCGACCGATGGGTGCGTGCCATTGGCCCACTCCCGTGCGCGTGGCCAGGCCTCCCAAGAGGGGGCGGAGTAAGTACACGGGGTTGGGAGATCGCGCCGCATCACCGGTACCTGGGCTATGCGGCGCGATGTGGAGCCCGATTCTCTCCACGCCGACGGCGCCAATGCATTGCAGATGCGGCGCTACCTTCCGACCCCCTCTACTTGGATTCCAATAAGGAGCCTCCAGAGGTGGGGGAGGTCGCGGGAGGGAAGATATTGGTTCTCCGCCGAGTTTCTTTGTAAGCGTCGGGGGGGCGTCACCCCCGCCGACAGCCCCACGTCGACCCCCGTCCCGGGCAGCCACCGCGCGCCGAAGGCGCTCCGACCCCCGTCGCGGCACGACGACGAGGCGAGGTGACCCCCGTCGGGGGATACCCCCCCACGCTTATTAAGAAACCCAGAGTAGGGAGCCTCCAGAGGGGGTGAGGTCGCGGGAGGGAAGATATTGGGAGGTTTTGCAAAGCTTCGGCCTCCTGGGAGGTCCTCGTCGGCACGGCCGTGTTCGCCTCGAGGTCCAAGTCCAGAGTCCACTCCCGGGGAGTGGTCGGAGCACCTGGGAGGCTTGGTGAACCCATGTCTTGTTCGTCTTGAGGCAGTTCCGACCGCTGTATTTTCTGGAGTTTGGGTCAAGTCGGGCCTGTCCCTCTACAGGAGGCATATAACAAAAGTGCAACAATCGTCAGGAGATGCTTTTTTTTCCGTATTTGTCCTTGCTGTTTTGTGCTTTTTTGTTATTTGTTGTAAGGTATTTCTGATCATTTTTGCATTCTTTGACTGTTTAAAATGCTTCGTCCAAAATCTGCCTGTAGAGGGACATGCCCGATCTAAAGTCAGGGCCTCTGGAGGCCCGCTTCGGGGCTCGGGGCCAGACGTAAGACCCAGGACGACAAGAAACCAGGCTCAGGGATGCTGTTGAAAGCTCCGGGGAGCCCGTGCTGCAACAACGTCGGCGTCGGATGTCTGGGAAGCTGATGGCCAGACCCCCCCGGAAACACCAAGCCGAGCAAAAGACGATGACGTTGGAATCCAATGTGGCGGACAGGGAGGAGGAACGAAGGGGGACGGAGTGTGGATAAAGGGCGGTGGAGGAGTCAGGAAGGGAAGAGGGGGCAGAACGTTGAGAAGGGGGAGGAGGGGGAGGGGGGGGAGGGGAGAGGATGAGAATGGAGGGGGGAGTAGCTAGTGAGAGCGAAGACGACGGGGAAATGAGTGTCAACATTGGGTGCAGTACCTCTTGTTGTTCCTCAGCTCTTCATCCTCCCTTAATGCCCCTACAGTCCCCAGAGGCCCTTGTAACCCCTAGGTTTCTCGTA